ATTATGTTTATCTGCAGTTAGTTACACGAATTCAGTTATGGGATGAAATCGGATAGGGATGAAATTGTTTAGGGATGAACAAGTTTAAGAGTTTTAAGAGTTTTTAAAAGTTTTAGCCAAATACTTTATAATATAGTATAGATATACTAACTTATTAAACAAATTTAACAAAAATCTTAAAGTCTTTGAGAAAAAAAAAAAAAAATTAAAAACACAAGGAACTCTCTTCAAAGCTCGTTACTTTTCAATTTAAATTACTTTTCAATTTCCTTTACTGCAGTAGAAGAAGATTACGCGCTCCCCTCCCCAAATAATGATTACCTCGCTCCCCTCCCCAAGACGCCGATTACCTCGCTTCCCTCCCCAAGACGACGATTCAGACGATTCGTCGCTCCCAATACGACGATTCAGGCAATTCCTCATTCCCTAAGATGACGATTCACTCGAATCATCAATATATTAAAGCGATGTTCCATCATCTTCTTCAATCTTCCTTCGTCATTTCTTTAATCGTACTTCCATCTCAGAAATCTTCCTTCGTCATTTCTTCAATCTTCCATTTCCAGGTAATTATTTGGTTTGTTTTTACCATTCATGTACAACTCAGAGATAAGAAAATATCTGGTTTCATTTATGCGAAAATATTAGGGTTTATGGAGTCAAGATTGGGCAAAAGCTCTTGAACCCAGAAATCAAAATTTTCACACTCTTTATATTGTAATGTAAAACGAGAGTCTTCATGTTACCAAATTCATTGTACTGAAGTATAATTAAAAATATCAGGTTTCATTTATGCGAAAATCTACTATTGACAGCTTAATGCAGCTAGTGACATAAGAAGCTGTGATCTTGTTCAACAGATAAAAATCAGGTTTCACGTGTTCTCACAAGACATAAGAAGCTGTGATCTATTTGCGTCATGGTGTTAGTCATTGCTATTTTTTAAATGTAAGGCCTTTTATCTGAATTTAGGTGGGGTAGGCAAAGGATTAAACTATAAGAAATTATAGACCATTGAAACCCAAACGCAAACATAATGCGGCAAACTCTTACCAAAATTAAATTTTTTGGTGAACTCAACATTCCTAATGCTTGGATGACATGGAGAATCACTATCAAGACAACCAGATGAGAAATTAATGCTTTGGTGATCAGCCAAGGAATAAACTTGATATATATTTACCTAAAAATGATGGTCCAAAGCCTTTCATTGCTTTCATCACTGGAGGAGCCTGGGTAACAGGGTATAAAGCATGGGGTTCTCTATTAGGACTCCACTAATCAGGTACAGAAGTCATAGTGGCATGCATAGACTACAGGTAAATTTGAGATCCAAATGTGATCATCATCATGTTTAATCTATAGTAAACTTTGTCTTTATTATTATTGTGTACTTGTGTTTCAAGTGTAGTTCTGTAATGGAAACATTGCAGCATTTGTGTCAATATGAGTTTTATAATAAGCCCAATCACTGCTCAGGATTGTTTACTTTGTTTGCACCTTTTTAAATTTATTTAATTTTGGGATGGTGAAAGATGTAAGGCCTTTTATTTCAAGTTAGGTGAGGTAGGCAAAGGATTAAACTATAAGAAATTCGCTTACCTTAGCTTGATAAGGTATGCTCACTTCCTTTTGTATATGGTAGATGCAGGGGACTATCAAAGATGGGGATATAGCTGCAATCAAGTAAACTGTTATGGTCTTTACAAGAGGAAAGATAGGATTTCAATGATGAACTTAATGTAACCATTATGGCATCTTATATGTCTTCTTGGAGTTGTAGCAAAGGATCATTCTTATTTCTTACATTCTACATGAACAGTACCATGTTACCATTATTCATAGGGATATCACCAAAAGACAAGACCCGTCTCAAGTCCAAATTGGCAGGGTCCTTGTATATTCAAATTAATACATATAAATAGGCTTCCAATACTCTTTTCTAGATCTCTTGATCAAAATGTATCTACAATGACCATTTGTAATTAATCTTTTCAGGGATAGTGGTTTCCTGGCACTAGAATATGCCATTCATGGTCAGAGAAAGTAGAAGCATGTAACTTTGAAGTTATGGTCTCTTAAATCATTAGTAGGAAGAGGTGCCATGACGTCACGGATGATAAATCAGTTCGTCAAAAGTCCTTGATTATCTAAGCATTTTAAGACAAAGGTCAGTTCTTTTAAATCATTTTATTCATTTATGTCTTATATTTTGTTGTCCATTTCAATGATGAAGTGGTTGTGTGTGCCAAGAGATCTTAAGCGTGGTTATAAGTTCTTAGTAACTTTTCTTTTGTTATTGTACATGCTAGGCTTGCAATCTCTATGATTTGATTCTAATTAAAAATAAACTAGACCCCTGTGAATATGCATAAGAAGATGCAATGACAATCAAAGAAAGTGTTGATGTGCACTCAGTCTCTGGGATCTGCAAGGTCTGAAATGGTTGCACCTTTAAGTGACAAATAACTGGACGAGATGCCATGAGTAAGGTCTGAAGAGGTTGCACTTTGAAGATACTTCTAAATGTATCTTTAAGATCTCTCAAGTTTATTTGCATCGTAATAGTTACTTTTCTTATTTGAGTATTTATGTAGATGAATCATATATATTACTTACGCAATATGTTAATCAAGGGATGCATCCATGTGTTTTGGTTGATGGTTCTGTAATTGTCAAAAAAAACAACACTATAATTTCTGCAAAATTTTTAATTGTTTGCCTCTATGTTTCATACTAATTTGCAGCTAATGAGATTACCTGTTAAGTAGCTCTGGACACTAATTGCATAATCAGAATACAAATTTGTATCTGTTTTCTCGCAGATTTAGCTAAAAAATGCAATTGGTAAACTATAAAAAACGAAGCAATAAATTCAATAATTCACATATGCACTGGATTTTAAGGGCTATGTATCTCTGTACAGCAAGTCAGTTATTACATGATCATCAGATCTATTTGTCATTTAATATTTGATTGGTATAGGAGTTTAACATTGAGAAGATGCAATTAGTGAAAGCGGAGAAAAAGAAGATCTGACAAGAGTATGAGTGCAAACAGAAGCAGATTGAAGTCTGAAAGAAAATGCAAAGTTCCTATCTTTTGTTTATTCATCTGTCTATGAGTTATATATTTATATGAATTTTCATCGACTTATATTTGTAACTATGGATCTCAAGGGTTGAGGGGGTTAATGGTAAACACAGTTTATCAGTTATGCATTTTGGTTTTGATGATTTGTTCATTTGTTAAGAACTGATCTAATTTGATCATGGATTTGGTGGCATAGTCTGAATGAATTAGTTTAACATATGGCACAACCTCTTTACATTAGATTAGGTTTAGATTTGGTGGCATGGTCTGAATGGTTTAGTTTATTGTATGTCTTATCTGTACCTCTGGYTTAAGCTTGTGAAACATGAGTTTGTTTGTTTTGGCAAGACTAGGTTTGTATGATTGTATAAGACGTTTTCCATAATGCTTGTTGCAGAGAGTATTCTGTGCAGCTCAATGCTTCTCGGGTCAAAGTTCTTCAAGCTTGTGATGACTTGTTTAGTGCCATGAGAGAGACTACATCAAAAGATCTTTTGAATGTCAGCCATTACAAGTCCCATCACCTTCACTATTATAAAGGACATTTGAGAGCTCTAATTATCCAGGTACAACCATACAAGTAATATATTATCTGAAATTCTATACAATACAAGCTTCTTCCATTTATGAAAAAAACCCTTCTAAACAAAAATCTTCCCAACATATATTGACAAATTAGTTCACATATAACTTAATGAAATACCTACCAAACAACCCCTTACTCTACCTTTCTTTAGGAGTCCTCTACTTAAATTTCCTTCTAACATGTTTTAAAAATAAATAAATAACCTTTTGGCAAGCTTGACGATGCCAATGCCTAACAGAAGAATGTCACTTCTATACAGAATAATGCTTAGAAATATGTCAGAAGGTTATAAATGTATAAAGCACTTGTTAGGAGGTCATTTAGGTAAATAACTCATTTCTTTCTTTATTAATTACATCAATTTTCTTGAGTTTACCATAAATTTCACACTTGGATGGACTTGAGTAGCTTTATGAAATGTTAACTATTGAAAACCTTGTTATATTTTGAAAATTTCAACTCAGGTGGTGTAGTTTTGGCTTCTCGAGATGGTAAAATTGTGTTTGAAAACACACTTAATGTTAGATTGGAAAATTTTCAACTCAGGTGTTATAGTTCATGTTTGATTACACCTTCATCACCTCCATTTGTAGGTCCCAATTTACCTCTAATTGTAGGATCTTGATTTACTTGGCTTGCTGCTTGTTTGCAGATTTGCAAATTGTTGTTTGCTCAGGTTGTTGCTTAAACAAACATGATATCAATCGATTGATTGAAGCAGTCGTGATTCTTAAACCAAATATAAAGAGCAGATCCACCACCAAGTGCCTGCTTATGTGGCATTATCCAGATATATATCATGTGGTAATACAAAAGTATTAATGAAACTTATCAAAAAGTTCAATTAGGAAGGAGTCTACACATCAAAATGTGGTGCATCAAGAAGTTTGAATGATGATTGTGTATGATTAAAGCATGATTGTAATTTTTACTTTGTTTAAACATAAGTTTTAGACTTTTTGAACAAGAAATTGCATTATTTTTTCATTTTTGGATTTTTGATACAACATGTGAACCTCCAAGTATTTCAAAGATATTTTGTAAAAAAATAATATTTGAAAGTTAAATGTTTCTTGATTGAACCTTCATATCTCGCCGTATTGTGTGAGTACACAACTAGTGTGTGTGTATATATATATATGCCGTTAAAAACTAATTGGAAGAAAATACAATATTACCTACTTAGCGATAATTTGAATTAACTTATTTGATTTTATAACTTTATATTGAAATCGTACATTTAGAATCATTTTTATTTATTGATTTATCAAAGTTTTCTTATTTATAATTAATTTACTATTTGAAGAGGTTAATAGGAATGGAGAAAGAAAAAAATCATTTTTAATTTAATACGACCAGTTGGTGTTTTTGTTACGAGTGCATTCCGTTTTTTGCGTTGTGGTTTGTTAAAAATTATGGATTTCGTCCTTGTGGTTTTTTTAAATTTTTTGATTTTCATTCATATGGTTTGCAATTCATTTGTATTTTCATCCTTGAATCTAAAACACTGCTTTTAAGTATGAAAAACTAAGATAAAAATGAATTACAAACCATAGTGATGAGAAATAACAATAAATTTTAAATCATAAGAACGAAAAAGATAATGAATGATAAATCATAAGAATGAAAATCGTAATTTCAAAATTGTAAAGACGAAAATAGAAATTTTCAACAAACCATATAGACTAAAAACATAATCTACTCGTATATTAAATTCATTTTACTCCATAATTTCATATTCTCGTTTACAACTTTATTTTTTAATTAATTGATCAAATTTATTTAATATTTAAATTAAAATTAAATAGGTATGTGTATATAGTATTAGAATATCATAAAGAAAGAAACATATAAAAATAAAAAGAGTAAACTACAAGTTTGGTCAATGTGGTTTTTTATTGGGTGAAAGATAAAAAAATGATAAAAATACAAAAATGTTTTTATTTAACAGAAATTTGTAATGGTTGTTAAAGGAACGAAGCAAGTCTGAATTTTCTTTGACAATTATGATGGTACTTTATAATTTTAAAACTATAGTTAGAAAACGTGTTAATTTTTCGACAATCCATAAGGACCAAATAGTAAGTAATAAAATAGTTTAGTTTTTCTTTAAAGTAGTAAATTAACCAAACCGCCCCTGAGTTAGCAATTTCACTGCAAACCGGTTCGTAATTATTTTGGATTAGGGACTGGATCCAGATTTTAAGCAAACCACAAGGACCAACGGTGTCATTTTCTCAAAATCAAAACCGGAGGAAAAAGTTGAAACATAGTGCAAATATCATCAAATATAGTTAGTTTGTCGTTCGCTCGTCTTCACCGACTGAAACATTTCCAGTGGCCGGAGAAGATGATGATAGATCTGGGATCGTTCTCCGACGAGAAATTCGACGCCAAGAAATGGATAAACAATTCTTGCCAGTCACGTCACCCTCAAGATCCCTTAGACAAGCACCTAGTGGATCTCGAGATGAAGCTACAGATGGTATCGGAAGAGATCGCTGCCTCACTCGAGGAACAGAGCTCCGCCGCCATCCTCCGTGTCCCTCGCGCTACCCGTGACGTGATCCGCCTCCGCGACGATGCTCTCTCTCTACGTCAATCCGTCGCATCAATCCTCCTCAAGCTCAAAAAAGTGAGATCTCACTGCTTATCACAAGATATGTAATCGCAATTGTTTAATTTTTAGGCTTATTAACTATCGGAGGATTAGCTTTGTTCTATTTTCCACTGTTCAGACTGTACTTTCCGGATATTGGCTAATTGTGCGATGCTGTTCCATTTTGCTGTTAAATTGGGGTTCATCTTGGAACATAGAACTTTGAGAGTTTTCGGAGTTCAGTTAATATTTCTATATTCAAACATATTGTTGTGGATTTCTTTTTTTGAGCATTCATGTTTATCTACTTTCTAAATTTGCTACACATTATTCAACCCGTACTTTACCTTTAGAAGCATAATGGCCTTCGGTAAGCATCATATGTACATTCTACTCTGACTTCTGATATAGACATTTAGCATGATCATCACACTCTGTAACCATAATACTGTGACTAATTGAAGCATTGAATAAATGAGCAAGTGCTACAATATCTGACAAGTGAATGAGGATATTGATAATGTGTTGCAACTCTAAGCCTACACATGAACAGGAAGAAGTGTGAAGTTCAATGTTAGATATAACAAATTGTACATATTTCATATCTATTTGCATAATGAGATGCTTTTGTTTATAGGCAAGAYAGAGGAGAATAGCTAGTGGATAGAAATACTACGCAGTGAAATATCGTTTAGAAGGTTAACCATWTATGTAATTWTTTTTTTTAATMTATAGGCAGAGGGTTCATCCGCAGAATCTATAGCTACCCTTGCTAAAGTTGATACAGTCAAGCGTAGAATGGAAGCTGCCTATGAAACACTTCAGGTAGAGATATACTTGATCCTTTTAATGCATCAGCTTCGTTCACCATCATTCGTGTGCTTTGGTTTATTATTATGTCACTGCATCTTGTAAACATCTTGGATTTCTTATGTATAGGATGCTGCGGGGCTGACTCAGTTAAGCTCCACTGTGGAGGACGTTTTTGCCAGTAATGATCTTCCTCGGGCGGCAGAGACCTTGGCCAACATGAGGCATTGTTTGTCTGCTGTTGGGGAGGTAAAAGTTAACCAACTACATATGTATCATTTTGTAAAAGAGATCCCATTATCCATTAACTGGTTTGTCCACCCCTTTCCATTCAGGTTGCTGAGTTTGCCAATATTAGAAAGCAGCTTGAAGTCTTAGAGGACAGACTGGACTCAATGGTCCAACCTCGTCTAACAGATGCAATAACCAATCGCAAGGTGAAGTTTGAAGGAAAAATATTCTGATAAATCTATAACAGAGTGTCTATAAGTATTGCTTGCACTGTTAAGTTGTACATTTTGAAAATTTGCTTAAAGTGCTTTTATTTTTCCTGTGTTTAGGTTAATGTTGCCCAAGATTTGCGGGAAATTCTCATTCGGATTGGAAGATACAAGTCCTTGGAATCTCACTATACCAAAGTTCATCTAAAACCTATAAGGCAGCTGTGGGAGGATTATGAATTAAAACAACAGCGTACTAAGACCGGAAGCGAAAGGAATCAGGTTGAGAGTATTTCAAGTGCCCATGATTATCAATCAAGTTTGCCTACAGTTTCATTTCCCAGTTGGCTGCCAAGTTTCTATGATGAATTGTTACTTTATCTTGAACAGGAATGGAAATGGTAAGCATTTTGTCCTTCATTTCTGATTTCAGTAGGCTACATTAGTTTTTATAGGAAAAGCTTATGGTTGTCAGTCATATGGTGGACTTGTAACCCTTTCCTATGTGCCATTGTGTTGTTCCTCCACAAAAAATTACGTTCTAGAAGTATATGATTCTTTCCTCTTTTAAATTATACAAATATTCCTTTTTCTAACTTCTCTCTGAAGATATTAGATCCAAATAATCCCTAGAAAGTATTATTACTCTGTATGGAATGGATCCCAGGAATCAGTAGTTCTCAAATAGCAACATAACAGCCTCAGTTTGGAACCGTTGATGAATCATATCCAATCTTAAAATAAAGCCATGACAAATTACTGATTTGTAATTGGGTTGGAATGCTGACTGCTGAGCTTTGAAAATATGATCATACTGGTATAACTACCATAGGCCTATATTGTTGGTTCTTCCAACGTTGTAAGCAGATTACGCTTTTCGAAGTCATTTCTCCTTGTTCACTTGCTATTGTATTTCTCCCTACAAAATAACCTACATTATGTGAAGACTTTCTCCTCATTGATGAAGATACTAGATTTTATTTTCATGAGAGCTATGAGTATATTTGTAATTCTGGTGAAGTATAGGAGTGTACTGTATATGTAGGCATAGGTAGAGAGTATGGAACTTTGGACTTTTTGTTTCTTCAAGTGTCACATAACCTTTTATGAATGATGAACCATTTTAATTTATCTTGTCATGTACAATGATCATAATAGGGGGACATCATGGTCTTATAAATTTGTGCAATAGTTGTCCAATGACCGTAGTGAGAAACCTGGATAAGTGTACATAAAGACATAGAGGGAATTCACAATAAATGCTTATTTCAACCTTTGACTCTGATCCATGGCAGGGTTGGATCATATTAAAAAAACATAAGTCATAATATTCATATAAATTCTTGTATAAGTATATATTCAATCTCTTATGGTAATTGGTTTCAGTCTAATCATATGGAACCAAAGATGGGTGGTGTGAATGGTAAAGATTCTCACGACTGTCTATATAAAGTTGAGAACCTCACTTTATGCTATGCCACTCTTTATCCTGAGACAAATTGTCATTTTGTTTAATCAGGTAGATAAAGGAAATTGACAAGTATTCCAAGAGTGATGTGCATTCTGCAGTCGATATTTCTAGCTATATAGTGCGTCCAATAGAATGTGTCATTTGCAGCAATTATTAAATTGATCATGTAGTGCAGAAGGAATAACTACCCAACAACATTGTGAACTGGCATTACTGACAGGAATAATACCTAATCAGAGTCGGATTATCATTTAAATGACTTGTTGATTATATTTTTTCAGGTCTATGCTTGCTTTTCCAGAAGATTACAAGACTCTTGTCCCTAACCTATTAATCGAAGCAATGGTGGCTGTGGGTGCCAGCTTTGTTTCCCGTATCAACCTTGCAACTGGAGATGTAGTTCCTGAAACCAAAGCATTAGCTAAAGGTTGCAATCTGAAGCTCCATTGGGATCCACTTTTTGGATCACAGTTTGTTTGTATTTGAGGTATCCTAAACAATGTAGTGGGTAATGAAGAGGCCTCCAAGCACACATGTAGTGCCCATTTGGTGGACCAAC